GGGGGCGCTGCACCAAGAACTACTGAAAGAAACGACACAAAAACCTCACACGTCTTCTTCTGGAAATAAAAATAAAAACGAAGTGGCATCAAGTTTTAGCAGTTTTAGGAGTTATATTTTGTCATTTTTCAAAAATGGACTTAACATGAGCAGAAGATGAGACAGAAGACCATGGAGAATATTGTTTTTCCACACAAGGCAGCTGACGGCTCCATATAAAGGTAAGAGACATGCGTGTTTGTTTACTCTGCGGAGCGGGGCTGTCTGTTTACATTCACACTGTACTCGAACCGCGCTGGAGTTCGCTTCTACCAGACCGAGACCTAGGTTTTAGCCCGGGCCAGAGTTCGTCTTTTTGTTCCGTGACAGAGTTCGATGGTTTGATCACACCTCCCTAAACGAACCGGACTTTCTAGGAAAACAAGCTAGAGTTCGATTAAAGCGGACTAAACAGGGCTGGTGTGAATGTACCCTTACACAGAGGGAAACACATTAAATAGAATAAATTACAAATAGTGTTGGAAACAAAATATATTTTATCAAGTAGTGCTAAATAGTTATCTAAAATATATTTACACCAAATTTTATAGAGACAAATATGCAAAAAATGAAATTACAAGATTTAACTTCTCCCTCTGCAACATGGAACAGCCCAATTAGACTGATATCTAGATCAGATGCAGCTGGGCTGTTTACAGTGAGTGGCAGGACAACTTCAGCAGCATCTCAACAGGAACTGGCAACTCAAAGAAACAAAAGTTAACCTTCCTAGCGGGGCGAGATCCCGCACGCACTTATGATGTGAACGGGTCAGTTGTGACCCGTCTTAAATCAGCCAAAAAATGCCCTCAAAACAGTGTTTTTTTAAGAAGTATTAGAACACATCTCTAAAATAAATTTGTCTTATTATTTTGTTATTTTAATATTATTAACCATAGTAACATTTATAGTGTTAAGGGGAAGTTTTGACCCATGTATATTTATTTATTTTAAGGATTACCCGTTTTCCTTGATTCTTCTCAGGGATGCCAGCTGCAAGTTTGCCTGTGTAAATCTGTAGATTCCAGGCATAGCTGGTTTTCGCATCACAGGCTGCCCAGATTTTTATGCCATATTTGTCTGGCTTACTGGGCATGTACTGCCGGAAGGGGCATTTTCCACGGAAAGGGAGAAGACGCTCATCCACTGTCACCTCTGGTCCTGGGTTGAACATCAGTGGAAGGAGCTTCACCCATCTATCCCAGACGTCTTTGATGGGAGCAAGCTTGTCAGACCGTGCTCTAGTATCTCTGTTGTCAAATCTGAGGACTCTTGAGATCATTTGAAAGGTCTGAAGTGACATTGTTGCGCGGAAAATACTCCTGCCTGTGGACACATCCCAGAGACTAGTAAGGGCCTCATTGCTGGATCTGTACACGCCAGCGAGAAGAAGAACACCAATAAAAGCATCCAGGCACTCCTCATCAATGTCCTTCCAAGTGTCACCGTGAACTTTTTTCCCTTCGAAGTTTGTCATAGCAATGATGACTTTCTTTAGTGACAATGGCATAAACAAATCAAAGCATGTCTTGATGTCACTTACTCGTGTCACAGCAAACCATGTAATCCTAGGGGTCATCTTCATAACATTTTCAGCAGCTTCCCTGCCACGTGAAACAGGAGGAATCGCACTCCAAGTTTTTGGATTTATAGGTTTCAGTTACAGGAGCAGCTTCAGCACCTGTGCCCTCCTCATCCGACGAGTCTGTGTACTCTGATTCATATTCAATAGCATCGTCCTCCTCAGAAACTGGCTCATCTGTGTCACTAGGTGTGTCCTCTGCATCATTTTCAGCAAGGATGTGATCTAGAGCTTCTTGTACTGTGAATCTTCTCTTCATTTTGGTATTCAGCCAAGCTCTAGGTAAAATGGAGTGTCTGTTTCTACATGCCTCTACATGCCCATGTAGAGACACACCCAGGTGGGTGTGTCTATCTAGGTCTGCCTATCAAGATGGGCATGGCTATCCAGGTAGGCTCATCTCTACATGGGCATGCCTCAACATGTCTCTGCATCTACAGCTGGATGAACTTTTTCAGTTTTTGGGAGCAGAGTATGAGGGACTTATCAATAAAAGTAGTACGGATAAATGGGGATGTTTTGGTCAGTGAAGTAGACAAACAGGTAAAAACAGAAGGCCCTAACATATGTATGACAAAGTTAGTGAGGTCACAGTGTGTTTATGATTTCAGTTTTGACACTGATTATTGGTTGATAGTCTTATACCATAACTGGGTCACAAATGACCCCAGCGCGGCAAGTGCGTGTTGTTCTATAAAAAATAAAAATTAAATTTAGTGAAAAAAATATATATTTTTTTTATTTAAATAAAGGTTCCAGACAAAGTCAAAAAGCCTTGATGCAAAAAAAAATATTTAAAAGACAGTATCATGATTTAAAATTTAAAATGGGTCACTACGGACCCTAACATAGTAGGAAGGTTAAAGCATTGCAAATGACAAATTGTAGCAAGAATTGACAAAGGAAGTTAACTAAATGTGTGTACTCCAAATAGTATGCAACTATATCAAATGTTGCTAAAAATGTGGAAATTTGATTGTAAGGCTGATGGTCCTCCCTTTTCATGTGAACAATTAGTATTGACTGTCATGAGCAAACTAGTTGATCCACAAAGAGAAGGTGCTGCTTATAAAGCGGAGTTGGTTGCAGCTCCTCAGGCTGAAGTCTTTAGGATAAAAGAGGAAATGTTTTAACAAAGCTGAATCCGTCCAGAGGACCTGACTCAACCTTATTAGATTTATCTACCTTGATTATTGAGCAGTCATCGCTTTTAGATGTTACTGTAGGAAACAAAATTTAAAAAAAAAAGTCAGTTTAAGAGGATGTCTTGGATTGAGTGCAGGCTGGAAAAGGTAAATACTCTACATCATCCTTAATGTCCATGTATTCATTACAACCCGGCTGGACTACTGTAACGCGCTTTATGTTGGGGTCAGTCCAGCTTCACTTTCACGTCTCCAGCTCGTCCAAAATGCTCCAGCTCGGCTATTGACAGGAACTCATATGTTTGAGCATATTTCACAGGTTTTGTCCTCTCTTCACTGGCTCCCTATGCATGTCAGAATTTATTTTAAAATTCTCCTGTTGACATTTAAGTGCATTAACGGCATTGCCCTGCACACCTCTTTGACCTACTTCATCCTTATGTTCCTTCTCTGGCTTTGAGATCATCTGATCAGATGCTTTTGGTTGTACCAAAAACCCCATTGAAGCTCAGAGGAGATCATGCTTTTTTGGTCATTGGCCCTAAACTTTGGAACAATCTGCCCCTCAACATTAGACAGGCCACTTCAGTCCCTGCTTTTAAATCTCTCCTGAAAACACACATGTATTCATTAACATTTAACACAGTAAGATCTGATTAATTATCCCATAGTTGCTCATTGTTTTTATTTATTTATTTATTTTTATGCTTTGAAATTTATCTTGTTATTTTTTTTGACTTGATGCTGTGATTTTGTTGTTGAGCACTTTGGTAACCGTTTCTGTTTTAAATGTGCTTTATAAATAAATTTGACTTTAATGCCAACTGTGATATTGTGAGGCTTAAATATTTGATATTTATTTTTCAGAACGATGTCAGCAGGAGATAGACATGATGCTGGGTGGGAAGGATCGAGTCAGTTTTGAAGACAGGCACAGCATGCCTTACACGCAGGTAAAAGAAAATAAAAACATCTGACACTAGTGTTAGACATTTAGATATTCTTACTGTATATATGTGGACATTTTTCATTCAACCTTTATTTAGACAGATAAGTCAGATTGAGCCTAGAAGACTCATTTACAAGTGAGATCTGTTTAGACAGATAAAAAGTAGTGAAACTGGACACATGTAGGAATTGGAGGCGAAAAAATTCCTATCAAACTTTTTCTTCTAGCCTGAGAAGAAAAACTCTAATATTAAAAAACACCTCGCCCAAACAACACATAGTGACGTAGACATTCTGCAGAGGGAGGGAGACGACGAGAGCGGTGAGCATGTCCATAAACGCTCTCGAGATCACTGTAAGAGTTCGGATAAGAATGGGATAATCAGCCAGTGTCCTCCGGTGAGATCCGTAAACATTCTCGAGGAATGGCCAAGGATAACATCTATGAGAATCCAAGAGTCCTGAAATGATGACAAGAAAGTTTATTCAGCTGGTTTCATCTGGTTATCAGTTGGAAATTCCTCAGGGAAGGGGTGGTGAGCATCAGATCACATGTTCTCCAGGCAAATTCAGATAAGGTGGCCTTCAAGGCCAGCAAGGGGAGTCAAATTCAGATAAACACACAGATGTTTTGGGGACAGGCAGAACTTAATGGCATCTACCTTGAGCCTGTGTTGGTCCACTGGGTTCCGAAATGTTCAAATAACATGGCCACACTGATGGAATGTGACTGAGTAAAATCCCAGAGATCTGATCCATTCTGCCCAAAGCATTTGAGTCTGGGTACTCGAGGCACAAACCAAGCCATCATGAAGGCAAGCAGCATGATCGGGTCCAAATTTGCTGCCGCCGACTTCCTTGATTTTAGATAAAACCAGCAACCAGCCGAATCTAAAAGCAGGAACCAGTTATCATAAATCCAATTGAATATGTGTCCTTAAAATCCACAGATGGCAGCAGAGATAGATACATCATCAAGTCTTCCAAGTCGATGAGATATCCAGCTGCGTGCGTGCCAACAGGGCAAATCGGCTTGCCTAAAGCCTGTCTTTTCTTCGAAGAAATGTTATCAATTGTGTTGAGGGACAAACTGATCAAAACAAGTCCATAATTATGGTTCGGAAAATATGCAAGAGAGGCTCAGAAGCAGTTTCACAGACAGACAGAGCAGCAAAGCAAAGCGGAGAGAGAAGGGAGGGGAAAAGTGTCCGACCTCGGCAAGAGCAAGTGATGAAGTGTGATAATGTTGATAATGTTGTATATGGAAATCAGTTTGTTTAGCGTTTTATCAACTTGAACTAACATTAATAAAAACTTTGATTAGCCGTATATAATACAGTCCAGTATTTGTCCAGTATTATATATATATATATATCTATATATATATATATATGTGTGTGTGTGTATGTGTATGTATGTATGTATATAGGCGTTTAAACATGCCCTTCCCACACTCTTGTAATATTTTAAACATTTCTAATTCTAAATGCGCTAAAAAAGCACACAATGTCATGATTTCAGCTCCCTGCCTCCTCTGCTCTTTGTCACCTGCAAGCGCTCTCAGCCACGATATATTATTATTTAATATAATTTGGACATTGAAAGTAAATGCTTCTTGTTAACATAAACATATTCATCCTGTGTTGGTGCTTATATATCAAAATGTCGATAGCTCAGATTACATTAGAAAAACTGGCTTTCACTGCAAATTGTGCTTTAATGTTGTCCTGTTCAACTGCATTGTAGGGAATTTGATAAACCTGGTTGACATGCAGATAATTCCATCACACACAGTTGGCATGGTTCAGTTCAGGGTTCACTGGCACAGTCCTGATCAATCTGCTCCTTCTGGAATACCCCTGTTGCTAGGAACCCCAGTGTAGTCAGCAGCTGTATGTGTACGAGCAGCGCACGGCTCTAGAAAATCCTCTCTGTCTCTTAATACACACTTTCTGCGTATTACGCCATTTGCTTTATCTTCAAATAAGGCTAAAGGTATTTTCTGCACCACTTCGTGCATGCTTTTATATCCACTAATCTAACTGCATACATGTGAATGTATTAATTGTTCATAGTGTGTGTCCGGTGCGTACAATAATAGTTTTCACATTATTAACAGTCTCCTAGTATCACCTCTTGGTGTCTCCAATGGACCAATATCCATAGAAACATGTGTACACCAGCCATGAAGTTGGCGTAGGGCTGTGCACATTTCCATGGTCATTTCATTCTTGATACATCTGAAGTTGAACGTGAAAAAGAGCATACGCCACGTTTTTGTGCATACACGTCATTTGTACTTGATGCCCCTGGTACTTGGATGGAAAGAATTGAGCTGTATTATGAATAGCTACCAAACTTTATACTAACATAAATAATTATGCTACGGCAATTCACTCCTAAGTAATGTGTCTTTATCCAGGCTGTGATCCATGAAGTTCAGAGGATTGCCAACACGGCTCCCCTCAGTGTCTTCCATGCCACGACAAAAGACACAGAGCTGATGGGATATGCCATTCCCAAGGTGAAAGATATTCAGTCTAAATCTATTTTTACAAGAAGTGAAAAGCATCCTTTATGACTTTAGATCTTTTCTCTCAGGGTACGTTGATCATCCAGAACATGATGTCAGTGCTGAGGGAGGAGGGTCAGTGGAAATTCCCTCACGAGTTTAATCCTGAAAACTTTCTGAATGAGCAGGGAGAGTTTGTCAAACCGGAAGCCTTCATGCCTTTCTCTGCAGGTAAACTTGCGTGAAACAATGTCTCATAAGACAAAACCATCAAAAATCATATTGAGGTTCTTTTCTTGTGTGTCAGGTCCTCGGGTGTGTCTCGGAGAGGGTTTGGCCCGTATGGAGCTTTTCCTCATGACAGTGACCCTGCTGAGGAAGTTCAAGTTCATTTGGCCGGAGGATGCTGGAGAACCGGACTTCGCTCCAGTCTTCGGGATCACTTTATGTCCAAAGCCATACAGCATGAAGGTCCAGCTGAGATCAAAACAGTGAGGTGATTGTCAAAACAAGCTACCTCAGGGGATTTCTGAGATATCAAAATAAAAGCAGTAACAAAATCTCAGGTAGACCTGCTTATCATGTTGTTTTTCTCTCGTGTGCTCTCTCCTGCTGGGGTCCACCTGCATAAATAAATATTTCTCTTAATTGTCTCAAGACTAGCATAATTCCTTAAAAATAATACTGTTTGCATTCCTGAATTAAAGTATTTGAAGGTTTCAACAGTGTGTTTGTTACTTTGAGTTTTTGACGTCATGGCAATCATTACTCTTTATGTTTTCTTATTTTGTGTCATATACAGGTAAATGCAGATTTTATATATAT